CCCAGATTCAATCTGGGCTATTGAGCTCATATGTTCATATGAGCTAGTGAGCTAATCTCATCGATTCCTATATATATATATATATAAAACCTAGTCTAGGAAAAGAGTGACATGAGTGTTGCTTATAAAGTAACGAAATTACAGCCATGCACAAATGGATACACAATACCAAATACCTCACCCACCCAAACACTCCTAGATGCATACATATGTATATGCATATGTAAACATATATATTTGGACATGTATCCAGTTGCAGTTATATAATCATGTATGCATGTGTTGTACGTGTGCATGCATGCAGAGTAGACGGAATATGTGCATGTATAAATTCATAGAAGATAATTTAAGAAGAATTTCCTTGTGTCTGGCATTCACATACAAGTCTGTTGTCCAGGTCTTAAAACAACAGCTTATATTACGATGTTCAGTATCTCTGAATACTTCCATAAAACTTTTTTAAGATGTAGCATGGCGGAACAATTTTCCAGAGATTGTAGCGTCCCTTCAACAATTAAGGAATTAAACAATCGAAAAAAACAAAAATAAAGACAAGGAATTTATGTCCATTGAACAACGACAAGAATTATATTAATTGGTTCCAGCCATATACTGAGACGAATGATTTCCCCAATAAGACAATCTTAGTAAGACATACTCCCGCGAAATATCATAATAACATTAAGGATTTGTATCTGTAGTGGATTGATAAAAAGTTTAATGGCAACCTCTACAACAGGATAGTTGAAATGATTTTTCCAATTTTTCCTTGTTAATTCCATGTTGAATAAAAACAGAAAACATAATCTATTCAAGTTCTTACTTCACAGGGAAAAGGTAATGATAAAAAATATAAGTGCCAAAGACTCACGGCTCGATCAAAGTCTAACATGAAGCATCTCTTAACATCTTCCTTTGTAGGCTTGCAGCCACATCGATCCCGTCTTGAAGTCAGATCCGAAAATTTGGTGTAAGTGTAGTGTAAAACTGCAGCTTCATCCAGTTTTAACTCACTAGCACACAACCAAACTTGGTAGTGAGAAATCTATTTTCCAAACAATGCACACAATCTCAATCATAATATTGGAGAATGGCAATAAACACAGAGTAACAGTGTATCATGCTAAAACACAATCTATCTGCATATAATGTTGAACTTCGGTTCATAGAAAATATACTTAGGTGTTTTCATATAATTGTGCCATCTATGAGCACCATTTGGGCGGAGGTGATCTTGAACTCTAGCTGCCGACTTTCCATTGCCATATGTTAAAAAGTAATTTGGATTCCCTCGCGTAGCTTCCTTGTACATTCCAAAATATGTTTCCTTTGTAAGATGGTCATAGTTCTTCTTGAACATAGACACCTGAAGTGAAAGAACACAAACGGTGAACCCAGATATTAAATCAGTAAGAACAAAATTGGATGAGACAGATATTCCGATCAATGCCGAAACAAAACAACGAGGTCAGTAATGCATTTATTTAAACTCAGAAACAGAACACTAACAGACGTACAAATAAAATTTGATTAGGAAGGGTATTAAGATGAAACAATGATCTAATATTTGCATTAAATATGTTAATTATGCAAAATGTGGACACATTTAGACATTTTGATTCAAAAAACTCTCTACACGTATCTCACAGAAAACCACATTCACATATATCAACTAATTAAACAAAAGAAAATCTTAAAGAAACCCTTAATGAAGTCTGCAAGCCACCTCAACTGTAGTGAGGAACACAAAACAATAATAAGCCCAGAAAACCAGTAAGTATATAGCATCAAATTTCTTTATATGCAATGCAGTGTATACGAACAGTGATCATAGCCTCAGGGACTTGACAAGTCTGCCCAGTTTTAGTCCACAATCTATAAATACCAAGCAAGTCTCACATCTTTTCAGGGACATCAGTCTACTGGAAACTGAAAAGCCCATTTTCCCACTTAAAGGGTATCGGGAAGAGAGGTGCCACAGGCATTCCTCCATGTTGAACCCCGGTACTCACCCCATTATTCAATTTTTTGAAGTTTGTCATATTTATTAGAGGCCTTGGACAAGAGTCACAAGATCCAAGTCACAGAGTTTTCAAACTTAAATTTAGACCTTGGTTACACAACAAAAGAGGACATGCTTTAGGGGAATATGAAACTTAGTTCAAGAGTGGTCAAAAGGAAGTCAGAGTCACTATTTAATGATAGTACCACTGATGAAGTTACACATAAATCTAATCATGTTTCTTTCAAGTTACAGAACCACACAAGGGAGCCATTCAAGACATTCTATCATTGTACATGTAATGTAAAATGTAAAATGTAAAATGTAAAAGATGACTGAAAGGATGAGATCCTGACCTCACTAAAAGGCTCTTTTATATCTTCTCGCTCAATAGCACTCTCCTATACAAGAGCAGCACCGTTAGATTCACTAAATAAACATGCATAGATATTAGATGCATAGATATGAGCATAAGCCATTCCACTCACATAATTTGGAAAAATGACCATGTCGACATTGTCAGGCACATCCAATAGCAATTGCCTCAAAGAATACTCCTTGGCACCTGCTGGGTGAATAAGCTCATCCGTATCAAGATGAATGATCCAGTCCATTCCAGCATCCTGTACATTGTCAATTTTGACAGAAAAAGATTAGAAAAATAAGTAGAATGAAAATCGGATAATCAAAGAGTACAATACCAAAATTGAATCAACTCTAACAAATTGAGAAATCACAGACAAATAAAGAGGTGTCTTTTTGGTAAAACTATGGATAGGATTATAAGGTCCCATGGTCTAAAACAGGTAAAGTATCAACAGTACCTAAGGGAAAAGTACACCACAATCCAACACAAATCAAATATCTCCAAATAACACACACACACAAAGTACTTCCGTATGAGTGCGTACGTACATACACATGCGTGCTCGCACACAACACACACAGACAGAAGTACATAATAGGATCATTTGCTTTTGATATAAGGAGGTCACAAGCAATATTGACCATTAGATGTGAAATTCGGAGGTTGGGGATGCATCATTGATTGGGCACAAAGTCCAAAATATAATTTCTCAAATATAGTCGCACACTTCAATCTATTTGATTTCACATCATCCAATGGTAGGTAGATGGGTGTATGTGTGTGTGTATATATAGAGAGAGAGTACATATATATAGAGAGAAATCTTCGCATATATGCACCACATTTTCCATTATTGAAAAATCCAACTCGCCAACCCCACCCCCCCCCCCCAAAATACTGTCCTTCACGAGCGTACAACTTTTTTCCCTCTTTTCTTTTTTTAGTTCCCAATTTGCCACCACTTTTAGATCTTCAAGATCCAAAGTCACAAAGTGATTTTATGACTTCAAATCTTGAATATCCAAAGTCAGGCGCCCAGATACCTTTTTTGCCTCAATTTGATTTTTTTTCCATTTTGCCAACATTTTGAATTTTTAAGAGATTTGAAGTCATCTCTCATATACATGACTTCGGATCTTGATTCAAAGTCATAAGTGACTTGGCAATTTGGGAATTAAAAAAGAAAGAAAAAAGAAAAAAGGAGGGGTACACAGATAAAAAACAAAAACTTGGGGGATTTTTTTTAATAACTTTAATTGTAAGGGATATAGGCATAAATTTATCTACATATTATCATGAAAGATTATATCCACAAAAAAAAATGCAAGTCTCAGTAGTATCTATTTCATTTTATATTGTTGCCAAGTCTATAGAAAATCAGAATTAAGACCAGCGAAGTACTTCACCCCTGAAGCTTTTGCACGCAAGTGTCCAAAAATCAGAATTTCTTGAGTTCTAACTCAACACCATGGATAGAAATTCTTTTCTGTATTAGTCAATTTATCAACAAACAATTAAGGGATCAACAAAATCATGGTCAAAACAAATGGCAATGAAAGAAACTCTGAATTACCATAATAGCATCTAACAACTAGCTCTGAAGTTAGTGGAATCCCAGTAACTAGCAATACTACAATCTTCATTTGAAGAAATAGTAGTCACCACAAGGAGAAAGCAATATGACGAACTAATGTCAAATGGATGCCCTTTTAGGACTCACTAAAACACCTTAAGACTTCAACCTCAAAGTGCTCCAGCCTAATATCAAGTAAAACATCGTGCATGAAAATTGAAAGCTTCAACAAAGGCCTGCTGAGAAAAACATGTTGGAACTATGTGAATTGCTATCATTTTGTCTATGTTAAGGACATAGTCTGTATTACGACTGTTCATAATTGATATTTCTTTCAGGACATGTATGTTTACATCCTTTTTTTTTACCTACTAGAGTTAATAAGAACACAAAATTTTGAATACACAAACTTTCCCACAAGGCCAACATGCACCAATGAATCAGAACTACAGCTATCATATATCATCAGAAGCAAATTTCAGCGATTGGAAACCATAAATTTCTTGGAATAAGTTTCATAATTAATAAAAGATGGACGTCCTTCTTTGACATTCAAAGAGAACCATTTTGCTTGACGAATACAGAAAACCTTCAGTGCGTTACCAAGTCCTTGCCACTGCAAAAGAAATACACTAAAAAAGTTCCAAGTAGATAAATCATTGGACCACCTGATGGGCACACAAACTAAACTCTGTGCGAAATTCAGAGTTGCGAGCAATAAGTTAATAAAGCTTTATTTGGATGGTCCTATACTACCACCAAAAAGTGAGCGAACCCTTACCACATCCACCTATTAGAAGAGTATGAAAGAGAGAAAACTACCATCTCTGGCCCCTCCACGACCACCAACATGCCACCACTCACCATCAGCACTGCGGCCAGTGACACCACAGCACCAAGTAGGTAACAGCGGTAGTGGAGGTGGCAGTTTGGGGGGGTATGCCAGTGCTCTCTCTCTCTCTCGCCATCTGAATATACATTTTCTTTTTCAGAGGCTTTTATTCTTTTTTTTCCTTTTTGGGGGGCTCCCCAAGGGGGGGGGGAGATGAATCAGTTTTATCTTGGTCCCAGGACCAGCAACAACATTTGAAGAAATAACAAGGTGGGCGCTGAGGTTCTTGGGAAGTTTAGCAGATGGGTGCAATGGTGTCCATGGTAGTGTGGTGGGATCTGGCTTATGGAATAGGGTTGTTCGTGGATGCAGTGGTGGTGCAAAGAGGATCATCGTGGAGGTGATCCTAGGGGGAAGAAAACCACCTAAAATGTAAAAGTTGGAAATTGCAGTAGAGACTTCAAGTGGGAACTAGATGCAGAGGAATGGAGAAGAAGTTTGGTTCAGCAGTTGGAAGGAAAGCTATTTCAGAGAAAACAAAGTTGGTATGGTTTAGAGGTACTAGTGGTAGTGTGGCTCTGGGGGGATAGAAAGGGGCTTGGAAGGGTGTGGTTGGGGGTGGGGTAAGTTGTTGGGGTTCATGATAGGCAGTGTTTCAAAAAGTGCAGGGGGGCACCTAGGCGGTCGGGGGGTCCAGGCTGCCCAACGCCTAGACGGGCGCACAGAACCTGGGTGGCCCAGTAGAATTTGTTTCTCTCTAATGGGCTTTAAGTTTTAAATGAACCTAAAACCCACAATTTTGCACCTTTAGTATTAAAAAAAGACTCAAAAATACCCTCAATGAGGGGCATTTCAGCCCCTAGACGAGAGCCTAGAGATATCCGTCTAATTTGGCGCATGCCCGAGGCCTTTTGGACTGCCTTGGCGGCCGCCCAAGCGCTGGGCAGTCCGCTTTTTAAAACAATGATGATAGGAATCTGCAGGTGAGTCTTCTAAGGTTTGGGTTTGCAGAGGAAGGTGGTAGCTGGGGGTAGCAAGATTGTGGGCAAGGGCGGCGGTAGAAAGGTGGGGAGGAAGGGCATTGGTAATGGGGTTGGTGGTTGTTTTCTTTGCTATAGGGGTTGTATTTCGGCGGGGGAATGATTGCTGGTTGGATGTGTGGAGGGAAGGATATGATGTGACTGGAAGATGAAAGGACAAGACACAAGGGTCCAAGATAGGGATGAAGTATAGGGGTCAGGCATAACGTTAAGTTGGATTGGGACTGTGGGGGTGACTCAAGGATTGTGGTTGGGGAGGATGTTGGAGAAAGGGTGATGGGTGGGGGGAATGGGGGCTGACATGATAGGATCTAGGGATGGGTGGCAGTAGCCCGAAGCGCGTCATTGTCGAGGGACATAAAGGCCTCCTTAAATGCATCATGGTTGGAGGGTGGCATGTGATCAGGGTAGGTCGTCTGTATGGGTGATGATGGACGATTTTCAGAAAGGGGGAGGCTCAGATAATGGTAGTGGTCATTAATTGGAATGATGTGATAGGATATATTTTCAATGGGGTAAAGTGGTGGGAAGTTTTCAGTGGGAGAGGAAGGCGGTGGTCATGTATTAGAGCACAAGACTTGAGGTTACATCACTGAAGGTTAAGTGGTTGAATGGTGGATCGAAGCATCAATGGGTAGGTTGGGTATGTTTGTCACACGAGGTGGGAGAAAGTCTGGATTAGTGGGTTTCAGGTTAAGTTTGGTTGGGAGACACAAGGTTTCAGATCTGGAGAGGCTCGGGATTTGAAGGGTTGGGAACTGAGGAGGCTCGGGATCTGATGGGTTGGCCATCCGACTCGTCTGGCACCTGATTTGGTTTGGACAAGGGCTGGATCTGGGGTTTGGTTTAGGAGCACTAGTGGTTTCCACAGAGGCTTAGGATGTGCATCCCTTAACCTTCTGTGGTCCCTGGTGCTTGGGTAGGAGTAGGACCGTGATCCAGAGATCATAGAAAGGTAATGATCCACTCTTTCCATTTAGGAGCTCCAACCATGGTGGACCATAGAACCAAATGAAGGGTGGGCATCATTAAGAGTAGTGATGGATATAGGATAGAGAAGATTGTTAATAGAGAGGGTGATCTGTACTAGGATGGGGAACTCTTGGGAGGTCTGAACCGGGATAATGGCAGAGCCTAGAGGTAGGGACTTAGCATGCTTGGTATTCAGCTTGATGAATTTGCAGCAAATGTGCTAATAGCCGTAAAAGTGGGTGCATGGAAAGCATGGAGAGGTACACCTTGGACTAGGATCAAGGTTTTTTGAGTGGGAATCGACCAAAAAGAGGAATCCCAGAGGGAGAGAGAGTTTGCCACCTCTAAATGGGAGATCTTTTCGAGATATAGCTCTAAAAGCCATTTCTTGAGAGTGGAAAGAGAAAAGCCATTTTGAGATATAGCTCTAAAAGCCATTTTTTGCGGCCCATTTCTGAATGTGTTGGTAGTCATATCTCTCTCTTCTTTTTTTTGGAGGGGGGGGGGAGGGGGCGCAAAAAATGACCTATAATACAAGTGTTCCGCATGATTTCAGTTCTGTAGTCCAGAACACTTCCTTCAATATTAAGCGTACTGGTTAGAGGTTGAAACTGGAATGTTAAGGGATCAGATTTGGGGTAAATTGCGGGGAAAAGGGCGATATGATGGTCTGGGTGTAGGATTGTCTGAGAAGTAGTTTGGCTGGATTTGGGCTATAAAGTTTTGAGGCCTTGGACAATGGTGGAGATGAGATGGTTGCTACACAGGGGTAGATCGGGTTGTGGTAGCAAAGATATAAAGGTGGTGGTTGGGGAGTAAATGCTCATTGGGGCTCCTTTTAATGGCTCTCTATCGGTTGTCCTCATAATCTAAGAGGTAAGCAGGTATACAAGGTATAAAGAAACTGGGCAGTATCTGACAGGGTCCCCCCTTTAGAGGTGAGGTGAGGGGACTAGGAAAGAGAAGAGGAAGAGAGGCTCAGTTGTAAAGAGGGAGGGGGAGAACCTTACCAAAGGAGAAAGGAGGAGGAAAACATGCACTCACAGAGAGAGAGAGAGAGAGAGGATGCCCATCTTGAAGCGGCAGCGATACAGAGAAAACTTTCATGCTCCTTTTTCATGTCCTTGCATTCAAGTTATTAGGATAATCTTCCAAAAGGTTCCTCCCACATTCCCTGTTAGCTCATTTATCTTTCTTTTTTTTTTCGTTTTAAAATGTGTTGACCGTCTGTTAGCTCATTTGTCTTTTACCCTCTTATTGTACCTTTTTCAGCTTAGCAGAGTAACATCCATGACTGCAACTTTTGAGATAAAGGACGGCTTGAACTTGAGAGAACTCGAGTCTTGCCTTCATCGGCAATTACTTGTGAGTACTACTCTCTACTTGTCAAAAGATCACAGGTTTTACGCCCTAGACAGCAAATGACTCGGGCCAAGGTGGAGTCTAGCTGCACCATATTGGTGCAGATTGGATCTATATTTACAAATCAATACCTTTAACTGATTTCCCCAAACTCTTTAGACATGTGATATCCATTCAGAGAGAGAGCCCCATGAAGAAAATATATTCATTAGGGAATATTAGAGCATCATCAAAATATGCCAGATAGATCTTCCTGATCAATTAAACAAAAAAGTACAAATCAAAACTGGCATTTGACATGCTCCACAATTCATTTCATGTTCCCTTTCCACTATCTTTGTTGCTACCCATTCAGCCCTCATATGTATACCATCCAGTGGGGCAGGGTCAATGTAAAAGGGAACATTCCGTATAATGCATTTGCATCAATCAATTTATTTTCTGCTAGATTCACGGCAGCCAACTTTTAACTTTCATTTCCCTCTCCCAAATTGTTTCCAGCCATTAGGACATCCTAAAAATTGCATACTGTTTGCCTTACCCAAATATGAGACATGGAAAGCAATAGAAAGAATAGCTAATCCACACATCAAAATGGCACACACGAAGAAACACCTAGGTCTAAACTCTAAAGCAAAGGAGCAGAAGAAAACATATGGACAGAATGCTAAAATACCAGTGTGCAGGAAATCAAAAACTAAATAGGTGAAGAAAAAGTCACACACAATTTAAACTCTAAAGCAAAGGAGCAGAAGAAAACAAATGGACAGAATGCTAAAATACCAGTGTGCAGGAAATCAACAATTAAATAGGAGAAGAAAAAGTCACACACAATTTAACAAACCATACTGAAGAAATAGGTGTGATTAATCAACCAAAAGACCTGAATTCAATATAACCAAGAACTCTGGTCAGTGATACAGAACCTAAATCTAACAATCTTCAGTCTCATACAGTATCCGGCAGACTTTTAACGACAAATAACAAACAATTATGGCCAAGAGTAACAAAGATAAAGGGAATGGTCAACAATCTGCAGTCTCATACAGTATCCGGCAGACTTTTAACGACAAATAACAAAGAATTATGGCCAAGAGTAACAAAGAAAAAGGGAATGGTCAACAATAGCAAAGAATAACAGCAGAAAGTAACTTGAAGTTTGTGAAAATCAGTCTCATATACATTGTACAACAGCCAAACCTACAAACACAGAGGCCAAGAAGAAGATTCTCCAGATAGATGTACAATTTTCTTGCATATGTAACAATTAAAAAAACGTTTCTTCGTTTGAAACAGATGTGCTAACCTAAATACCTAAGACTCGTATGAATGTGAGGCACACCCAAGCTTCCTTAAAGAAATCAGGTGTGTCTAAGCATGCCTCAATATTTTGACTTTTCATAAATGTGCATAATCCCAACTCCCATCTCCCCTCGATGCAGGGCGGAAAAAAAGTGGCACGCTTCAACATAATATATTCCCAGGTATCTCACATAAAGAAAATATATGAACGAAACACCAATGTTACAGGTGCCAATGTTGTCTCCCACGATGGTCACTAGGGAAAACAGTAATATTCGTAAGTTGAAATGACAAGAAGAAAACTTATTTCAACTTCTAACAGAAGATCCATACCCGTGCCATGACAACAGCCATCTCCATGTTAAGTGATTGCTTGACAAAAAGCTCGTAGTTGCAAGGTTTGTAGAAGAAACTTGATAGCCAAGTTTCATTCCAGATTCGGCTGATATCCACCAAAAAGAAATGAAACCCAGATCAGCATCCAAGAAGATATCACTCTATCATGCAAAAGCTGAACTATTTATAATGACAAACCCAAAAGTTATTCAAGTGTCGACACAAACAACTAAAGACCGCCTGGTATCAGTGTTTAAAACACAGAATCGGGGCATTCAACTGGAAAGGGGGAGGGTCCAAGTTAGCCACCAAGTCCCAAGTCTAACCAGTCAAGATTTGGTCCAGAATCATAGTTTTCTTTAGAGATGCAGGCAGACTCACTCAAGACTCGGTTACACAAGTTGGGGTCATCCAGAACCAGTAGATTGACGGATCCAAGTGACTTGGATGGGTCCAAATTGGGCTTGCAGACTTCTTAAATAGAGTCATGAATGATTCACGCAATTATCATATGATGCATCTTTTCCCTTTTTACTACTAGAATATCTTGGAGTGTTTAAGATAATATCTTCAGAATAGCCAGTTAATTCACGAATGATGGACAATGAGATGTTGGGTGTGTTTCACTGATAATTTAATAAGGCCCTAGGTGCTTCAAAGATATAAAGACCAAAATTACAGCTTAGCTTTACCTTTCTATATTCTTTTTTTCTTGATAGAGCCCTAATGAAGTAAATGATAGTTCTAATATCGAAATCAAGGTTAAAGAAAAAAAGGGAAACACTAGGCGGCCACCTTGGCCTAGGGCACCAAAAACTTCAGGCAACCTGAGGTGACAAATTTCAGAAACATTCATATATGTGTTGTCCAAATGCGCATATAGCAATTTTGTATTTTTTTGCAGTATATGTTATGCTAATACACATGCATAAATGTTGAAACATGTCCAAAACTTCAAATCATTGAAAACTAAGTGAAAAACCTAAACAAGTTTATAGGGCATTAGTCTCCAAGTCTCCGTACTCCATGGTGACATACAATCATCATACACAATTACACACAGACCCCTAGTCACCAAGACCCATACAAAATGCTGCATATAAAAGATAAGATGAAATACAAAAAAAAGAAAGAGGAGATCTTCGATTCTTCAAATCAACAAATCAACCCAGGTCTTCTAATACCCTCATTTTTTTTGGATGAAGAGTCTTCTAATACCCTCACTAGCACCATAAAAAAGGGAAATTATAAAAATACCCATCTAAGATGAACTATTTAACATTGTACCCTTATTGTTTCATTTAATTTCAAAACACCCATAAAAAGATAGATGATCATGTATTGGAATAGTGCCAAGAGTGTAAAATGCTAAATGGTGCATCTCTCATGCGTGTTTTGATAAATTTCCCTAAAGATAATTCCAATACGATTGGGCAAGCTTTTGAATGATCCTTTAAACTTCACAATTTTATCTTGATTCTGAAATTTAACAAAAACAGCAATTTTTGGTGTTTTTAGGATTTAGTATTGAATTTTTTTGCATTGGGGTTTTAGAATATCCCCAAAATGAAAATTTTTTCCTGTAATTGATGGATAAAAAAGGCCCAAAATGCCCTTCATGGGCAATTTTTTCTGCCAAAATAGGGCTTGGTCATGCAAATAAAAATAATAATTTTTTATTTTTATATTTTTCTAGGACTTAGAAAATATGTTATTTGGACTTTTAGTTTTCTTTAGGGTTATTCTTGTTTTTTTTAGTTATAGAGATTTAAGGGGTAGAATTGAAAATTTAGTTTCTTAAAAAAAAAGATGGATATGGATAGGGATTAGTATGGTTGATTAGGATATGTTAGACTTAGACTTGTTTTTAAGAGACAAGGGAGAAGAGTTTAGTTTATTTATTATTCTTTTAATTTGTATTGAAAGGGAAGAGCTCCCTTCTTTGTAAAAGGGATGGCGAATTGAGTAAAGACTTTGGGTCTTGTGAAAATATCTTTGGGGTGGGTGGACTCCCTTGCCGACCCAAAGAGGGTATAATTTCTCAAGCCTCTTATTTTATCTTTTATTTTTCTGGTCTACATCAGTTGATATTAGAGCAAAGAAGATCTAGTCATCGCCATGGCACCGAAAACTAATCCTGCTACAGATGATCGCATAACACAAATTTTAAAAAATCTAATCAAAGTAATGGACGATGTTCAAAGCGAAGTTCGTGAAATAAATCAGGGGTTGCAATGGTTAGAGAACTCTATTCTTGGCGAAGATGGTGCTCGCAATCACATCGAATGCCGATCCTATATGTAATAAGCACATCGTGATGCAAGAACCACAATCTGAGGAACATCCACATGTTCTTAATATTCAGCTTGATCTTTCCGAGTTATATGAGCAACTTGAAACAGAAATCAAGATTAAGGTCGAGATCCTTGTATTCTATTTCAAGATGCACACAAAGTATTTGATGAATTGGTTTACTGAAGACAAAATACCGAGAAGAATGGTGGGACTACATCACCAATAATTCAATTGGCCTATGAAGGATGTAAGCTCGAGGTCGAGCTTTTTCCAACCTTAGGAAAATGATGCAAAATAAAAACAGTCTTTTTAAATTGTTATTTTGTATTTTTCTATTTCCTTGAAAGTATGCTATTTGGATTTTTATTTTTCTCTAGAGTTATTCTTGTCTTTTTTAGTTATAGAGATTTAAGGGGTAGAATTGATATTTTAGTTTTTTTTTTTTTTTTTAAATATGGATATGGATAGGGATAGCATGATTGGGTTGGTTAGGATATGTTAGACTTGTTTTTAAGAGAAAATGAGAGATATAGCTTAGTTTTTTTACTTTTATTTTATTTTTATTTATTATTCTTTTTAATTTGTATTTAAATGAAAAAGCTCCGTTCTTTGTAAAAGAGATGGTGAATTGAGTTTAGAATTTGGGTCTTGTGAAAAGATCTTTGGGTGCCCTTGCAAACCCAGATGATGGTATAATCTCTTAAGCCTCTTATTTTATCTTTTATTTTTCTAGTTTATTTTTTTTCTACATCACTTGGCACTAGGAACTGGCACCCATATACATTGGCCTAGACGAGGTGGCCTAGGGTCCCTTGGAATCCTAGGCATTGGGCAGGTTGTTTTATGAAACAATGATAGAAGTTCATTACACGATGTATTTCCATTTTTGACAAAATTCTCAAATGTAAGCATCAATTCCCATTATGATTTCAAAGTCGTCTTGTAAATCAAACAGTACTTTTGGTGATCCTTTTGTAAGAATGATAGATAATGCACTAAGGTTTTCATGAACACGAAAATTTCAACATGTGAATAATAGGTTCTAGTTGGTAACTGATCACATTTTGACTATGCAATGCTCTTATCATCAAGTTTGTCTACATATGCAAATATCACTACAACTATAGATCCTTGATGTCAGCAAGAAGATGCAGCTGAGTGGCACTAATAATATGGGAATTCATGAATTCCACAGAGATGATCTCATGGGAATTCATGCATTCCAGTGCCATGGCGGTTGCTTGACATTCTCGTTTATATGTTTTTAGATGTTTCTAGAGCAGCTAATGCCGAGGCAGTGGGGTTGCGATGAGTTTTATCGTGTATTGCTAAAAAGATGTCACCTTGATATCTGTAGTTCATTTCTCACGGGTAGTTTTTTCTAAAAAAATGTTTTGATAAAATGTTACTCGTCGGGAAAAGAATTGACATGAATACCAATGGGTTAGTTCCAGCAATTATGAAGAGAAACAATAAAGCAAGAAGCAAGAGTTAAACTTTAAGCAATCTAACAAAATGAGAAATTACGAAGGGAAGAAAAGCTAATGAACAAGCCCAGAACCCTTTATAATCATAAATATTTGAAATTATGAAAAGTGTGGGAGGAAGAAAGAGAAGAGGTAAAAAAAATTATGGAAGAAATGTTGAGGACAAAGGAAAATACTAAAGAGCAAGTATATACACATAGCAATACAATACTGTTGCCTTTCTCAAAAAAGATAAAAAAAATAAAGAGCAAGCATGTGGATAACAAAGAAGAGAATAAGGTCTATCTAGGATATATGATTGATAATAAGATAGGTTTACAACCACTACATAAGAGGGTATCCTCTTCCTCCTTTTATCTACATAAGTTCAACGTTTATAGGTAGAAATCTACAAAAGGATAATAAGATCACCATCAATGGGATCTAGGCATCAGACTTTCACAGGTGATCCAAGCAGGTCAGATGGGCTTAGACAGCACAAAGCCACAAACCAGGGCATAGTTGTTGGAGGCACAAGCAAGCGTGGGGGTGGAAGCTAGAACATGAACAAGGAATCGTCCCTTGCTATGTGTTCCCTAGTTTGGTAGTGCCATGAGGCACCGTTAAATAAATATAAAACACTAGAGAAGTTCTAAGAAGTACAAAACGTAAGTGCTTTATCATCATCATGAGGGCCTTTTCCCAACAATTTGGGGTCGGCTACATAAATCGTGATCCGCTATTCTGCTCTATTATTCAAGGGCCATATCTAAGGGGCTATAAGTCTCCATATATTTTCTCACTACTTCCAACCATATCCTTTTGAGCCTACCTCTTGCCCTTTTTAAGCCTTCCACTTGAAACAACTTGCACCTCCTAATAGGTGTTGTACTGGGTCCGCGCTGCACATGGCTAGCCCACCTAAGTCTACTTTCTCTCATCTTATCGCCTATTAGAGCCACATCTAAGTTCTCTTGAATGTATTCATCTCGAATTCTATCTCTTCTTGTCTTACCACTCATCCATCTCAACTATGTTCATCCTATGGGTATGTTGTTTCTTGACCGCCCAACATTCCGCCCCATAGAGCAAAACTGGTCTCATAGTTGTCTTATAGAAATTCCCCTTCAGCTTCATTGGTATGCGGCGATCACATAAAACTCCAGTTGCAAGTCTCCACTTCGCCCACTCAGCCCTTATTCTATGTGCGACATCTTCCCCAATATCTCTATTGTCCTGGATTATTGACCCTAGATACTAAAAATGCGCTCTTTTTGGTATTTCTTGACCATCAACCTTAACTACTTCCTAGTCTCTACTCCTATTATTACTAAACTTGCATTCC